CCCAGTTTAAATGGTTTTATTTTAATAAAAGTTGGTGGATGTATTTATCTTACTGTAAATAACACGTGAAAAAATTTTCAGCCTTATCAGTTGGACATTCCGGTTTTTATACTGCTTTTTTTGAATTCACTAACGCTCTAAAAATGAATATTTCAGCCGCAGTAAAGAATCAACTTTGGCGGATTTTGGTTCTTGACATCCTTTACGATCGGTTACGATGCCTAGAGTACGGAGACCTGTACGATTTCGTCAACTTAGTGAGTTTGATAGGGGCCGTATAGTGGGACTTCGGGAAGCTGGACTTTCTTTTCGGGCATTTGCAGTTAGAGTGCAAAGAAGTGTAGACACTGTGGTTAGGTGTTGTCAGGCATGGCTTCGAGAAGGCCGTACGCAAAGAGCAAGGGGCACTGGACGCCGCCGTAGAACAACAGACCGTGAAGATCGCCGCCTAAGATTATTGGCCTTAAGGGACCGTTTCTCCACTACAAGGTCCATTGCAAATGAATGGTTTGCAGAACACGGAAGACCTATTGGCATGCGAAGTGTTTACCGACGAATGAGAAGTTTTGGCTTGTTTTCATACCGGTCACACTGGGTCCTCCCTTTAACTCGAGAACACCAAAGTAATCGCCTTGAGTGGTGCAGACAACGGCCACTCTGGGATCAGGAATGGAACAGTATTGTCTTTAGTGACGAGTCTTGATTTTGTTTAGGCATGCACGATGGTCGTGCCAGGGTTAGAAGGCGACGTGGTGAAAGGAGGAATCCACAGTTTTTTGTTGAAAGACATGTTCATCACACTGTTGGAGTTATGGTTTGGGGTGCTATACCTTATGGTTCCAGGTCACCTTTAATCTTCATCAGAGGTCACATGAACGCGCAGCGTTATATCCACGAAGTTCTAGAGCCCCATCTTTCACCCTATCTTGACACCCTGGCAGATCCAACTTTCGAACAAGATAATGCCGGACCACATGTTGCAAGAGTCACAATAGACTTCTTCCAACATAATGATGTCACATTGTTACCATGGCCACCAAAATCTCCCGACTTATCCCCAATTGAGCACGTGTGGGATATGATGGGTAGGAGATTGCTCAATTTGCAACGTCCTCCTCAGACTCTAGAAGCACTTCGAGAGGAGTTGGTGGTTGCTTGGAATGAGATACCACGGGAGGACATTGACCACCTGATCTGTAGCATGCCTAGGCGCGTTGGAGAATGCGTAGCACATCAGGGTGCATCCACACATTATTAAAGGTGAAAGGGCTTTAAAGCAGTGCAATCATTTTGAAATTTTCATCATTTACTTATTATGCTTCATTAAGTACTTATACAAAATTTTATTAAAATAAAACCATTTAAACTGGGTGTTCGGATTTATAGGTCAATTAGTATATTTAAGCCACTAAAAATGCAGAGGTTTTAACATAAAAATGAAAATTAATGAGTGAAATAAATCAAGATTGGATAAAATCATAACATTACACATACTTATACAGGGTCCGTCAGAAAGAACGCATGTTTCTTAAATGAGTAGTGTAGTCAAAATAAGTATGGGAAAATATTTTATTATAGCAAAATACTCAGAAATACATGCCATTTTTTTGAGTAAAACAAAATTTACGTTCTAAAAACTATGTCGGCCATATGGCGGCCCTGAGCCGAAATGCAGGAATCACGCCTCTCCGGCGATATTCCATGGTCCCCTCGCTACCCGGACCTGTCAACGTTTGATTTTTTTATGGGGCTACTTGAAATCAAAAGTTTACCAAAGCAAGCCTCGGATCCTCGTCGATTTGAAGGAGGAAATAAGAAGAGAAGTAAACGAAATTCTTGCACGGATGCTGGCCGATGCAATGGGCTCATTTCGGGAGAGGCGTGATTCCTGCATTTCGGCTCAAGGGCGCCATATGGCCGACATAGTTTATAGAACGTGAATTTTGTTTTACTCAAAAAAATGACACGTATTTCTAAGTATTTTGATAGAATAAAATATTTTTTCCCATACTTATTTTGACTGTACTACTCATTTAAAAAACATGCGTTCTTTCTGACGGACCCTGTAGAATGACGTTAATGCATATATTATAAGCAAAAGTGTGAGATAAATGTATGTCAATGATTGCTAGAAAATGATTCTTTTTATCTTTTGAGATTTTCGGAATTAAAAGCTTTAGTATCAGATGCTACCCAATCTAAAAACGGATGACAAACAATGTCGCAGTATGTAATTTTTTAAATAACTGGACAACAAATTTTAGTTTTTTAATTGTATCTTGTGGGAAAAGTGCACTTCTTTGTTAATTTTGGGGCACTTAATCCAAAAATGACAATGAAGTAAAAAAATTAGTTGCGGTTTAGAAAAATTTTTTTTTATTTTTAAGGATATATTAAAAAAGTAACAAGATTCATATACGAGTACTTATAAGAATCACTATATGCGCTGTCTTTTTGCTGTTCTTTTATGGATCGTTTCTGGAGCATCTCTACCAAGAGTCCAACAGTAGTCTACAAGCATGGAAGGATTCCACTTTCCCTGGTACCTTTTTTCCATTGTTGAAATATCCTGATGAAAACGTTCGCCGTGCTGATCACTTACGGCACCGCATTTGTCAGGAAAAAAGTCCAGGTGTGAGTGTAAGAAATGTATCTTAAGAGACATATTACAGCCCATCTTTTGATACGACGACAGCATATTTTCGACAAGGGTTTTATAGTTGTCAGCTTTTCTATTTCCCAAGAAATTAGTGACCACCAGACGGAAATCATTCCAAGCAGTTTTTTCAATACCTGTTAAAGTGTTTTCAAACTGTGTATCTTTCAAAATATTTCGAATCTGTGGCCCAACAAAAATACCTTCTTTAACCTTTGCCTCACTTAGTCTTGGAAATTTCTGACGCAGGTATTGAAAAGCTGACCCATCTCTATCTAATGCCTTGACAAAGTTTTTCATTAGGCCCAACTTGATATGCAGTGGTGGTAATAAATTTTTTTTCGAATCTACTAATGGCATATGCTGTACATTTTTTTGACCTGGCTCTAGATATTGACGAACAGGCCAGTTTTGTCTGGTGTAATGAAGTGCCTTTGCCCGACTGTCCCATTCACACAAAAAACAGCAAAACTTTGTGTAGCCTAGCTGCATGCAGCCCAAGTAAAAGTGCAACAACTTTCAAATCGCCACAAATATGCCATTGGTGCTCATCGTATTTTATGCATGTCAATAGGTACTTCGTATTGTCATATGATTCTTTCATGTGAACTGCATACCCTACAGGAAGAGATGGTAAAATATTTCCAATATGCAATAACACTGCCTTTAAACTCAATGTTTCTCCATTCTTCTGGGTTATAGTTTATATTTAAAGCCGCCAGTAAGCCGTTAATGTTAATGCAGAAAACCAAGTTATTCTCCATATAGAAAAATGGTTCTAAGTCTTTGTGGCGTTTACGAAAAACACATACCGAAACATCGTCTTGTAACAAGTTCCACTGCTGCAGTCTTGATCCTAGTAACATAACTCTGCCTTACATTTTGGAAGTTCTGAATCTCTTACAAGATCATTTTATTCTGACTTTGTTATTTTGTGCGGTTGGTGGCATGACGTGCTCGGTATAAAATCAGGATCTCTTGACGTTGATGGCATATCTTCTTCCTGACGGATAACTCGATCGCCATGATCTGATTCGTTTTCTGACTCGCAAGTGTAGGATTCTGGGGGTTTTGGAATAGGATTTTCGTCACTATGAGGCACAGGTCTCATCGCAGATGGTATGTTTGGGTAGTTAATAACCGATTTTTTTTCTTGGACATACCTGTGCCCTGTCCAATACAAGGTACCATGCAAAAATAACAATCATTAATATGATTTGTAGGCTCTCTCCAAACCATTGGGACAGCAAAGCGCATAGACCGTTTTTTGCCATTTAACCAGCTCCTCAGACTTGAAGCACATGTATTGCAGCAGATGTGGGGTGCCCACTGTTTGTCTTGATCACCTAGTTTACAACCGAAATAAAGCTGATATGCCTTTGTTATTAGTGGAGTAATAGACCGTCTCTGAGACGCAACAGTCACATCACCACACACGTAACAAAACTGATCTGGATTGTTTACACACTTTTGAGACATCTTGCATGAACGCTGTCAGCCAACTGAGGAAAAAATGGCTAACATAAAACAATATAATGTACACGTATGTATAACGTAACACAATCATGCCGATTACATCATCTTTCCTTGCCGAATATAAAAATGTAGCACGTGCATTCTTGTGAATTACAGTATATTAACACTGTCACAGCAGGAACACATATAATTACCGTAACCTTGAACTAATATTGAAAAAATAAGTTTCATTCCGGTTTTAGCACATTAAAAATAGTAATATTTTGTTGATTTTATTTAGGATATTTTTTGGCTGTTTATCAGTGATAATTAATGACTCACAGAGAATTTTCTTAGTTTTGTAATCGAGAATTTGTTTGTTCAAATATAATTGCCGGGTACCAAAAAACAACTTTTTGTAAAATTGAGGAATAAAATTCAGACGTTTATCAAAAGATATGCCAAATTTTTTTACAGTTTCACACACTTTTATAATTTCACCATTTAATGATATAGTCGAATATTTCGTAATTTGATTTCTAATTTTTTTAGGAGAAAGATAATTATTTTTTTTTGATTCAATCTAAGATTATGCATTTCTGCACAATAAAAATTGATTTTCACCCCGAAAGACATAATTCTCCGAAAAATGTTGTGCCTCAAAAAAATACTCTATTTTGCAGATAATTTATAAGATGTGGCATAGGGTGAAATCAATTTTTATTTGTTTTTAATCTGCTACCCATTCGTGATATTCCCCACTCCATCTCACCTAGGCTATAAATTGACTTCTAGAAAAGTCAAATTGTAAATCTAATGAACCAAAGAATCATCTTGGATCCAAGTTTAGGAAATGAACTGCATAGCATTTAGTTTTGAATTTACTCACCTGACACCCCTCATCTTCTTCATCCCATCTGAACCGACAGTTGTACCTTGAATTGCACATAAGGCTCTTATGGATGCAAGTTGCGTCCTCACAATAAAACTCGTTTGTCTTATTGCATTCTTTCGTCTTGCCTGAAAAGATACGATTGTTTAACAATAATAATAGACGTCCTTATTTATACAGGGTGACTTGTAATGTCACGTATTCCTGTTGAGGGGTGATAGATTAGGTCAAAAGCAACCGATTTTGTCCTATAATGTCCTATATAGAAGTTAACCGTTTTTGAGTTATTTGAATTTTATTTTTTATTCCGATTTCAGACGGTTAAATTTGAAATACAAAAAACTACATATTTGATTTTTAGTTTTTTGTTATCGTCGCATAGCGGACATTCCAATAGTTCATAATAAGTAATAAAATGTTGAAAACTTACAAAAGTTGTAAAATTACGCTTTTGACATGCATGATTTTCTTATTTTTTTACTAACTTATTCGATAAAAAATGCAATTTTCTGTAAAAAATTTCCTAGAAATTATGTAAATAATATCTCTATCCAACAAGCTTTCATTTGAGGTATCAAAGTTACAACTAACTCGAGTACAAAGACATGAAATTAAAAAAAGATGAGTAAAGTTGTACGAACGATAATTACCTAGGATAAATAAAAGGATTTTATTTTAATTACAGTTTTATTTAATTACATTTCCTTTAGTATATTACAGATTCTGCTCAAATTGTAATACCCTGTTACAAATACACGCCCGCATTCTCTTACGTAGTTCACTTTTGGTAACTCTAGTTGTTAAATGGCTTTTTATTTGGTCAGCTGCACTGATTATCCTTGTAATTAATTCATCGCGCGTTGGTACAGGCGAAACATCGTACACCAGGCTTTCCATATATCCCCACACATAGTAATCCATCAGTGTGAGATCTGGGCTTCTTGCTGGCTAGGCAATGGGCCCGCCTCAGCCAATCCATTGATTTGGAAATTTAGAGTCTAAATACGCCCGTACTAATCTACTGTAGTGTGCGGGACAGCCGTCGTGCTGGAACCGCATATTTTGTCTCGTCGCCAATGGGACGTCTTCCATTAATGGAAACAAGTGATTTTTCAAGAACTCTTCATACACTTCTCCATTTAAATTGGCGGGCAGAAAATGAGATCCATCCATCACTGATGCCCATCCACACATTGACTGAAAACCGGCTCTGAGACCCAGTTGGTCTTATTTTTCGGGGTTTAAAGCTTCTTTACCAGCCCAGTAATGAGCATTATGGTAGTTAGTGATCCCGTCCTTACCAAACTTCGATTCATCGGTCCACAGAATTTTCTTAAAATAGTCTGGATCTTCTGTATCTGCATGTAACATGTACCTGCAGAAATCTAATCGTCTTGCAGGATCGCCCTCTTCAATCACATGCACAGGCGTGTAGTGATAAGGGTATAATCTTGCAGTATGCACAGTAAAAAATACTTTGTATTGTGATATACCCAACTGAACAGCCACAGTGCGCGTAGACGTAGTAGGGTCTTCCTGAAACACACGAAGGATTTCCTCTTCATCTAATGCCAACTACAGAGAATACCAACTGCTACAACCAATATAAAAATAAATTTATAGAGCTTGTAAGGCAAACCAAACGAAAACATTACCTAAATAAATTGAATAATAACTTAAATGATCCTAAGCGGCTTTGGACAACTATTGATGAGATTACTGGGAAAACAAAAGTTAAAGAGTGTGTCACTGAGTTAAATACAACATCGGGAACAGTATTAAAAAATACTCAACAGATATGCGATGAATTTGTGCAATTCTTTACTGACATAGGCGAAAATTTAGCAAGTAATATACAAGCAAATGAACAAAATACTCAGCCTCCAAAAAGAACTTTGAACTCATTTATTTTGGATAAAGTCGAACAATGTGAAGTATACACCACTGTTATGTCCTTAAAAAATCGGAAAAGCCCTAGGTTCGATGGTATTAAAAGCGAGCATTTGAAAATTATAGCCGAGGACATAACAGAATCACTCACTTACCTAATCAGCAAATGCTTTGAATCTGGCATATATCCCTCAATTTTAAAAAAAGGTAATATAATACCGATACATAAATCAGGAACAAAAACAGATGTTAACAACTATAGACCAATATCAATAATATCCAGTGTAGCAAAGGTTTTTGAAAAAGTTTTATCTACTAGAATGTTTCGATACCTCACAAAATTCAAAATTTTAAGTGAAAATCAATATGGATTTACAGAAGGGAAGGCTACATCGCACGCAATAACTAGAATTGTAAATCAAATACATCAAAATATTGATAACAGAATCCCTTCAATCTGCATTTTTGTTGATTTAAAGAAAGCTTTCGATACAGTTAATCACAAATTATTATTAGAAGCATTGGAGAGAATTGGTTTCAGAAGAAACGCGTCCTCACTGATCGAAAGTTATTTGTCAAATCGCCCACAATCTGTGCAGATATCAGGATCATTTAGTAAAGAAATGTATATTAAGTGTGGTGTCCCACAAGGAACTGTCTTAGGTCCGCTGTTATTCAATATATATTTAAATGATATTTTCCAAATTAATTGTGTTGGCAAAATAACTAGTTTTGCAGATGATACTGCAATATTATATGAAGGCACTGTCTGGTCTGATCTGAAAAATGTAATTGAAAATGATTTTATCAAAATTATTCGGTGGTTTAACAGTAGAAAATTAAGCATTAACTACTCTAAAACACATTTTTTACCATTTGGATCTTATGCTAGACATCTGTCAAATTACACAAATTTCTCCTTCAATATTAATGATCGCCGATGATACACAGATTTATCTATCTTACAATCCTGCTATGTACATTGAAGCGAATGAGATGCTGTCTGAGGATTTAAATAGTATATGTGTGTGGTATAACAAACATGGCTTATGTATTAACCCTAGAAAGTCGGCTATCATAACTATTAAATCTAAATTCAGCAAATTCAATAGTGAATTAATAAAGCTGTGTATTGGAGGTGATGAAGTTTGCCACAAGACATCGGTTCGCAACTTGGGCATCACATTTGATGAGAACCTGTGCTTCCATGATCATGTCACCAAAGTTGTTCAGGGTTCCTATGCTAAGTTGAAGTCAATTTATAGCTATAAAAATGTATTGTCCAAGCAGACCAAGGTTAAGCTGTGTGACTCCCTTATCCTAAGTAAACTTGAATACGGGGACCTTGTCTATGGTCCATGTCTAATACAGAGCGAGGCATACAGACTTCAAAAAGTGCAAAACAGCTGCATAAGATTCAGTTTAGGTATTCAAAGGCGGGAGAGGGTATCTGATCATATTAAAAATATTCAATGGCTTACTATGCGACAAAGGTGGATACTGCATCTATTATCATTGGTCCACAGTATTATGATCAATAAAATGCCTCTTTATTTGAAGAACAAGCTTACCATGAGATGTGATCATCACTCAGCGAACCTGCGTTTTGTAGGATATACTCTTGACTTGCCTCGGCACCGAACAACCCAATTCAGAAAGAGCTTTTCATATGTGGCGCCCGATTTCTACAATAAAGTACCTCAAGCTTTGAAAACTTTATCTGTGTCCAGCTTTAAAAGAAAAGTTAGGCTCTTTGTCTTTGATGACATGTAGCATGTATTTTTTTTTTGATTTCATCTAGCATGTATTTTTACGTAATTTTGTTTTTATATTTGTTTATTTGTGCATGTTTTCTCACTCGTCACTTTTCATTTGTTTGTGTTTTGCTTACACATTTGTTACTGTTTACTTTTAATTTTTATATCTTCTGCCATATACCTAATATTTTCTTTTTTAAAGTTACTTCTAATCACGGTTTTTGATTCTGCTACGTACTCTGTTGTTGCACGTTTCTCTTTTTGGTCTTTTGGTCATTATACCATGCTACGATTCTGTAAAAAAAAATTTTTTTTTCTGCTTTAAATGTTATCTTCAATGTATTTTTGTTGTATTTGCATGTACTTGATTTTTTTTTTTAGCCCTGGTTGGTTCTGAAAAACAGCTTGTGCTGATGTAACCCGCCAGGTAAAATAAAGGCCATTTATTATTATTATTATTATTATTATTATTAAAAAATGCAAATTAATAGAGTGCCCAACATAAAATACCTTGGAGTGGTCTTGGATCCTCACTTACGATGGAACATCCATGTCAATTATGTTTTAAAGAAAGTTAGATTTGTATCCTACAAAATTAAATACCTTGGGAATATATTGACAGAAAAATATCTTCGAACATTATACCATGCACTGATTGAGCCTCATCTCACATATGGTATATTAGCATGGGGAGCTGCATGTTACTCACATATCTATAATTTAGATGTTTTTCAAAAAAGTATTCTAAAAATGATATTTAAAAAACCGAAACTTTATCCCACTGAAAAATTATACGCAGATGTTCGAATGTATGATATAAGACAGCTTTATTTCTTACACAGTATCACTCACTACCATAAATTTGTAAACACCGACCAAAAAATTAAACATAATCATTATACCAGGTACAAAATTCGTGGCACAGTAGTTCCTCAACCGCATAAATCTATAATGCAGCAATCATATCTCTATTTAGCGCCTAAATTTTATGAAATTATACCTAAAGACTTAAAAGATTTACGTTTCGGAAATTGTTTCAAAAGAAATTTAAAAAAGTGGCTATATTCTATATCTAGGACTGAAATTCATAAACTCATAAATACGAACATCAACTAAATACATAATCTACTGTAGCTAATTTTCGTCCTTTTTTGTCATTTGCATTCTACAGTTTCAACTTAAATTTATTGGTCCATGTACAGGCGATGCCTTCTATTGGGCCTGTTTTGCTTTTATATTTATTTACTCATATTGTTTGTTATCTTTGTACATTGAGTGAAAAAATATTATTATTATTATTATTATTATAGACTCGGGGTCGACCAGCATCACTATGTTGCCTTTGAACACGTCCGGTTTGGCGGATGCGCCGATACACAGAGTCAAACACCGTAACATGAGGTGTTCGGCGATTCGGGAAACGTTGCCGATATTCACGGCGGGCAGCTGCAGAATCGCAGTTACAAAGTCCATAACAGAAC